GTCAGTATCAATATGGCAGTCAGGCAGCTGCTCAGTTTGATTCTCCCGGACCCGGCCCTCCCCCCTCCTCCCACCCTCTTCCTCCTCCCCCCACCCCCCCCCGCCACTCCCCAGGACAGCCACGTGGGCTGGAAATCTTTCTGAGCAGTTAATCCTAAGCAACTTTAAGCCTCCCATCTATCACACACACAGTACTTTGAACTGCTTTGTGTTTTCAGAAATAAAATAAAAACCAGTTGTAACTTGGTGTGAATGTCACACATGCACAAGCAAATACAAGGGCTGTTCTCTCCACTTAGCTCCACCAGGAAATCTTAAGTACCCAGTTAAACTGTGCTTCCCTCCAGGGTTTATTGCTGAGCCTGTGAGCTCCTTGGAAAGGGCCTTAGTTGACTTCCTACTTATTCTTTGTTCTTTGATGTGTCTAACTGCACCTTGCTCTCTACCAGATGCTAAAAGACCAGACTGCCTGCAGAGATGGCTCCATTTTGGAATGAACTGCTGCTACCTGGTAATCAGCCTCTCAGTGGTTCTTTCTTTTTACAAGTTCAGCCCCCCAGAAGGATTACAGCTTGGCCAATGATTTCTTCTGCCTTGCCCCAAAGGACCTCCATTTCCTAGGTTCCTGGGTGGTTTACCCAGTGCATACTCTGAAATCATGCTCAATTTCTTTCTTAGAAAACTAGTTGCGTCTGATTCCATTGGTAAATGTGTGAGACATGGGCCTATTTTTTTTTTTTCAATGTCAGGTTATTTGCATTTTTTAAAAAGGTTTTACTTATTTGACATAGAGATAGAGAGCACAAGCGGGGGAACGGCAGGCAGAGGGAGAGGGAGCCAGACGGTGGGGGGGCTCCATCCCAGGACCCTGGGATCATGACCTGAGCTGAAGGCAGACGCTTAACCAACTGAGCCACCCAAGCGCCCCAGGATATTTGCATTTTTTGAAAGATTTTATTTATTGATTTGACAGAGAGAGACACAGCGAGAGAGGGAACACAAGCGGTGGGGGGTGGGAGAGGGAGAAGCAGGCTCCCCGCGGAGCAGGGAGCCCGATGTGGGGCTGGAGCCAGATGTGGGGCTCGATCCCGGGACCCTGGGATCATGACCTGAGCCCAAGGCAGACGCTTAACGATATTTGCACTTTTAATGAAAAGTGAAACAGCCTTTTAAAAGGGGCAGTCCCAGGGTTTAATCCCTAAGGGGTTCTGAGATTTCTGGATTTAGCCTGTGGATGACAGGGAAGCAAAAAGACTTACCTCCGGAGGGGTCCAAACTCTCTATAAATGAGGCGTATGCCTAAACAAAGAGCTAGACTGAGGTGAAGAAGGGTAGACCAAGAAGTAGAACAAGATTTTCCAACATGATTGAAATTAAATCAGCGTCACTGAAAACATTCTAACCCTGGAACTGTACCGAAGGGTACCAAAATGCAGAAATAGCTCCAAACTCTATTCTACTCAGTACAAATCAGATACTCTCACTAGAGTGCCCTTCATGGTTCTGGGTTCTGAAATGCCATTCGGAGTTCAGTATATGAAGACGAAAAGGAGAGATGGAAATTAGCCATCAGGTTGGCCAGAAGGAACTAGCTCACAGTCATCTACCTAAAGATGCTGTGTGGCGATGTGCTTATACTATCCTGGATGGAACTGACTCTCGGCCAGTTCCAGAGTGGGTGACTGGGGCAAGTTGCAAATGGGATAATACACAGGAAAGCTCTCAGGGGCACCATAAAAGACCAGAAAGAAAATTCCAAGTGGGTGACTTTTAGAAGGAATCTGTGAGCACATCAGAGACAGAGTGTCAGGGGCGCCTGGGTGGCTCATCGGTTAATCGTCTACCTTCGGCTCACGTCATGATCCTGGGGTCCTGGGATCGAGGCCCGTGTCGGGCTCACTGCTCCGCGGGAAGCCTGCTTCTCCCTCTCCCTCTGTCTGCCGCTCCCCCCTGCTTGTGCTCTCTCTCTCTGTCAAATAAATAAATATTAAATCTTTAAAAAAGAGAGCGAGACGAAGCGTCAGAAGATATTTTGTAAGTGTATGTCGGCAGAAAGTTTTTGATATGACAAGCCATGATTTTCTTTCCAGACTGACGCAAAGGGTAGGGAGTGTCTGAGGAGGGGCTCAGGTATGTGCAGACATTGGTGAGGAATGTTCCAAGCATCCCCACTCTCAGATAGGTGGGTATGGGAAGAATTCGGGAGCAAAGAGTGGTGGGAAGTGAGGGAGGCAAGCTGCCGGGGTAGGCCCTTATTGTACATGTGGCCGGTGGGCCAACTGGTGAAGAAACATGTTGAGGATGAGCAGGGCGACGCAGAAGGGTGAATAAAAGGCAGCGGAATGTAGCCTAAGCTTGGCCGTGGTGGATGCAAACCCTGGCCCTGGCCGAAAGCAAAAGTGGGGCAAGCAAAGGGGACACCAGGCCCTCCAGGCCTCTCACTCTCCCGTACCTGCCCCAGCCCCCTTGCACTGGCCATGGAGACGTGTCTCACACCTCACCTCCTCGTCTGCCAAAGTCCACGCCACCACCTATCTTCTCTCCCCCAAGCTGCGAAGGAGCCCCACCTACTCCACCTGTCGCCTATTTTGCCCCCTGCTCCTTCTGTTCCTCACACCCTTGTCCCGCAAGGTGTAGGTGGCAGACCAGCAGCCAGACCAGTCTCACCTGGGAGCTTGTGAGAAATGCCAATTCTCAGGCCCCACCTCCCACCCAGCGAATCGGAATCTGTATTTTCACAAGATCTCCAGGTGATTCATATGCACTTTACAGTTTGGGAGCCTCTGCCCCAACCACTGCCCGGACGGCGCGCCTGAAACCCAGCTCGGACCAAGTCAATTCTCACTTAAAATCATTCAGCGATCCCCACCTCAAACCCTGCCTTCAGGCTTATGGCCTCCCGGGCACAATAGGCCCGTCTTGGTAAGGCTCCCGCCCACTTTTCCAGTCCCTGTATCTCATTTGCTCCCTTAGGAACACCTCATGGCAGTGTCGTTCACACCAGGCTCTCTAATCTCCGCCTCTGACATCCTTCTCTTAGCCTCCTCTTCACCTGGCTAACTCCAACTCTTGCTTCCTGTCTCGGGTTAGGTGTCCCCCGCCCCCCGCCCAAGCTGGAATCCATTGCGCTATGCCCTTTCCCATCTTTCTGGGTTTGGGGCCCGTTGGATGTGATCTCATATTACCCCCTGCTTGCATGCTTCCACAAGGGCACTTAGCCCCAGCTACTGCAGTTACCTGTTGATGCACCTGCTTGGCCTGCCAGCCTGCTACGTATTCCTTCATGGTAATGCCTGTGTCCAGTTCACTCCAGTAACCCTGGAGCCCAGGAAAGTACCTGGCACAGAGCACGTGCTCGGTAATGTGTATTGCATCAAAGAGAAGGGAGAAAGGTCACAGAAGAGTAAAGGCATACATAGAAGGACAAAGGCAAGGGCATCAGAAGTAAGCCTGGAGTTTGGGCCAGGGGAAGGGGGGGGTGGATTACAATAGAAAAACAAAAAGAATTGGGTAAAGAGAATAAAGAATGGAGAAAAACATGCTAAAGGGGAGGTGAGGGATTAGCTTTTAAACGGTTTATTAAGGAGAAGGCTAAGACTGATGAAGGCGTTTTCCTGTTTTTTTTGTGTGTGGCTGTTAAATGTGGAGAGTGACCTATGAAAAAGTGGAGTCAGAGTGTTAACACGCCCCAAAGGCAACTCATTCACTTGCCAATGAAGGACTGATCCACACACACTGGTTTCTATGAGGGGACACTTACACTTATGTGTGTGATCCTTAATATTCCAGATCTTGAATATTCAAGTGAATGTTGCCCTTGTCCAAACAGACCCCTTGGGTGATCTGGATGCTAACAGCTAGATGACCATACATCAGGGTTCGTCCAGGACGGTCCTGGTTTACACCTGTTGTGACAATATAATAATTACTAGTACCCCTGTCAAGCCTCAGAAATGTGCCAGTTTGGACGATGGTCATCCTACAGTCAACACTTCTTTTTGAGCTCTTCCTATGGTCCTGACACTGTGTAAAGCCCTCGACATCAATATTCTCATTAGATGCTCTCTATGAATTTTTAAAAATTGAGACGAGATTCACATACCATAAGATTCATCCTTTTAAAGTGTACAATTTGGTGGTTTTTAGTATACTCACTGTGTCATGCAAACATCACAACTATCTAATTCCGGAATATTTCCATTCTTCCCAAAAGAAGCCCCCCCCCCCCCCCCCGCCAGTCTCTATGGATTTGCCTGTTCTGGACACTTCTTTTTTTTTTTCTTTTTAAAGATTTTATTTATTTATTTGACAGAGAGAGATACAGTGAGAGAGGGAACACAAGCAGGGAGAGTGGGAGAGGGAGAAGCAGGCTTCCCGCTGAGCAGGGAGCCTGATGCGGGGCTCGATCCCAGGACACTGGGATCATGACCTGACCAAAAGGCAGACGCTTAAAGACTGAGCCACCCAGGCGCCCCTGGACACTTCTTATAAATGGAATCATAGAACATATGGCCTTTCGTGTTTGGCTTCTGACAATCCTATTTTACAATTAAGGAAATTGAAATTCAGAGAGATGAAATAGCCTGTCCAAGATCATTCCTCTAGCAGGTAGAGAGCAGACCTACAGCCGGCTATGTCCCACTCCAGGGCCCGCTTTCTTAGCCACCTCCTCATATTTATTGCAGGTACTCAGCACAGTCTTGGAACTCTGTTTTGGCCTTCTGTAACCAGGCACATTCTTTCCAAAATGCCTCCTAAATCTTCATTATTTGAGAGTGGATTTAATGTTTGGAAAGAGCCAAAGTCATAAAGAGCAGATATGGTAACTAAAGTGGGCCATCCAGCTGGGTAAATGCTGTGGACCGAATCGTGTCCCACCCAAATTTGTCTGTTGAGCCTCTAACCCCCAATGGGACTACTGTGGTTGTGTTTGGAGATAGGGCTTTTAGGAAGTAATTAAGGTTAAATAGGATCATAAGGGTAGGGTTCCGATCCAATAGGTCCGGTGGCCGAAGAAAAAGAAGAAGAAGAGGAGGAGGAAGAGGAAAGAGTTACCTTTCCGCTAGGTGAGGACACAGCAAGAAGGCAGCCATCTGCAAGCCAGGAAGAGGTCTCACAGAACCTGACCATGCTGGTACTCTGATCTCAAACTTCCAGTCTTCAGAACTAAATGAGAACTAAATGTTTGTTGTTTAAGCCATCCAGTCTATGGCGTTTTGTGGTGGCAGCCGGGGCTAATCCAGTCAGATTTTGGGATAAAAATAAGACATAGCCATATAGTCAGGAGAACGAGTGATAACCATCTGTGACTTCAAGAACAGTTTCCTGCGGGGAACATGAGAAATATTTTCAATGTGGGAATCAGCACTGGAAACAGGAGAAGTGAAAATAATCGATTATGCTATTATTAATAATATGCTGTATTTGGTTCCAGTTCATCCTTTCCCAAAACCTTAATGACAGTCTATATTTTTTTAAAGTACACAGTCAAGATGTAAATACATTAGAATCTCCTTTATCTAATGTGGTCAAAGGTGGTTGTTGGTCAGTTAATCCATAAAATTTGTTAAAGCAGAAAATTATAATAAGTACACACACATAGACACCTTAAACTTCTATTTTTTTGTCATCTCTACACCCAGCGGGGGCTCAAGCCCACAACCCTGAGATCAAGAGTCGCACGCTCTACCAATCGAGCCAGCTAGGTGCCCCTTAAACTTCTAATTTTGACATAAAACATATACATTGTTATTCATTTGCCAGTCTTTTGCTATAGGGTCAAAGCTTTTTTTGAGTAAGGACTTCTGTCTGATTCCTTTTGTCTTTCTTCCATAAACCACACCCGTAATGCATCCTCTATGATTTCCAGCATTTGCTTACTTAACGTGGAGAAAGAATGTGGGTGCTTGCAAAGCAATTTGAGTACAGAATCCTTCCGGAGTTTTCTCCCCCCACCCCGTATTTTACTGCTGTCATATCCAAAGCTAATTTGATGGCCCAGTTTTGGGGATTCCCCCCTACTGAGTTTTTGCAAAGTGATGAACTTAGTTTTCATAGAAACAATCCTTGCTTCTAGTGTTCATGATTCTTTGGTGTACATACAATTTAATTGTGTGATTACAATAGCAAGTAGAATTATCAAAAATATTTTCCAGAAAATAATTATTATTGAGCATGGAACTCAGTTGATGGGTGTAGAAGCATACAACCATTAGAGTAGCCTACTGGTCATGGGCTTTCATCATGACATAGGCCCTGCCAGTACTTTAAAGAGGGAATGCAGGGGCGCCTGGCTGGCTCAGTCGGGGGAGCGTGGGACTCTTGATCTCAGGGTCGTGGTTTCGAGCCCCATGTTGGGTGTAGAGATGACTTAAAAATAAAAACTTAAAAATAAATAAATTAACAGGGAATGTAAAGCATTCTCTGTGCATGATTGAGTGGAATTTGGTTAAGAGAGTTTCTACTGTCCTTGCTCATTAAAAACATATCCAGCTATTCACAAAGTAAAAAGTTAAAGTTCCCCTTTATTTTTTTATTTTTTATTTTTTTAAAAGATTTTATTTATTTGACAGAGAGAGAATGAGAGAGAGAGCACATGAGAGGGGGGAGGTTCAGAGGGAGAAGCAGACTCCCCGCCGAGCAGGGAGCCCGATGCGGGACTGGATCCCGGGACTCCAGGATCATGACCTGAGCCGAAGGCAGTCGCTTAACCAACTGAGCCACCCAGGCGCCCGAAGTTCCCCTTTAAATCTATCCTCCCTCCAGGGAGAATGCTATTAACATTTGCTGTGTATCTTTCCAGACTCTTCTACGCATTTATCTATACATGTGCATTGCTTAAGTCCTATGATGTGCCAGGCCCTGTACTAAAGGCTTTGATGTGAATTATCTTCTTTAATTCTCACAACTCTATGAGACAATACTACTATTATGTCCATTTTACAGATGAGTAAACTGAGGCTCAGAAAGAGTCAGTAATTTGCCCTAAGTCACACGGTGACTAATTTGTTCTTCCTCCTGAGAGAACTGTCTTACTAATGCACAGGAATCAAGTTAACTGTTGGCTCCATCCATCCATTTATTCAGCAAACATTTATTGAATGTCCACTCTTTATCGGGCACTGTACATACCGTCAGGTATTCAAACACATGGTCTCTGTTTTCAGGTGCCTGCAAAAGGCAGGTCAATCCGTGAGCTAAAAGATTTTCCCCGATTCATCCAGTTAGTAAGTGGGTGGAGCAGGATTACAATTCGGGCTTGATTTAACAAATTGTTCTATGACGGCTCTAGCTGAGTAAAGGCTGTGGTTGATTGTTTTGTACAGGTAACCACCTTGAATGTTTGTTGTTCCCATGAGAAGAGGGGTTTGGAGCGTCCAGAAATCAATGTTATGATTGAAACAGAGTTGGTAAATTGGCGATTATAAATAGAAGTTCTAAAAAGTCCTAGGGGCGCCTGGGTGGCTCAGTTGGTTGAGCGACTGCCTTCGGCTCAGGTCATGATCCTGGAGTCCCGGGATGGAGCCCTGCATCGGGCTCCCTGCTCGGCGAGGAGCCTGCTTCTCCCTCTAACCCTCCCCCCTCTCATGTACTTTCTCGCTCTCTCAAATAAATAAATAAATCTTTAAAAAAAAAAAAAAAGACTTCATTTGGGGCGCCTGGGTGGCTCAGTTGGTTAAGCGACTGCCTTCGGCTCAGGTCATGATCCTGGAGTCCCGGGATCGAGTCCCACATCAGGCTCCCTGCTCAGCAGGGAGTCTGCTTCTCCCTCTGACCCTCCTCCCTCTCATGCTCTCTGTCTCTCATTCTCTCTCTCGCAAATAAATAAAATCTTAAAAAAAAAAAAAAAGAAAAATCTAAAAAGTCCTAAATTGTATATATATATGTATATATATATATATATAATACTTGAACAACACAAGAGTTAAGGGTGCTAACCCCTCACATGGTCGAAAATCCATGTATAACTTTTGACTCCTCCACAATTTAACCACTCTTAGTCTACTGTTGACTGGAAGTCTTACCAATAACACAATCGCTTAATACAGATTTTGTATGTTCTGTGTATTCTACACTGTATTCTTACAATAAAGCCAGAGAAAAGAAAGTGTTATTGAGAAAATCATAAGGAAGAGACAATACATTTGTAGTGAGATACTGCAGTACTATACTATATTTATCTAAACAAATCCACATATAAGCGTACCCATGTAGTTCAAACCCGTGTTGCTTAAGGGTCAACTGTGTGTGTATGTGTGTATTTTTTTTAAGGCAGACGCTGTTCTGTAATCCAAGGGAAAAGGTAAAACAAGATTCAGGATTGTGGTTCCAATTCCTTGAGTGGGAGGACTGGTAGTAAAGAATTTAGATCCACTAAAGAGCTTGATTAGAATGTTGACAGTGTCAGCTTAAACAAGAACTTGCAATGGAAAAGAGGATCAAAAGTCCAGAAAGGGGGGGAAAAAAAGTCTAGAAAAGTTGTATGTAAAGAGTTATTATGAGAAAAATAATCTCAACCTAAAAATCGCGGGATTGGATTATAATGGTTAAAAAACATTAAAGCCTGCACGCTGAGACAGAACCAAGACCTTGCCTATTATGCAACACGTTCCACAAGCCTGGCCAATTTCGACGTACATTCTGGAGGGCTGAAGGGAAATGCCTCTCCCGAGGTGGGGGTGGAGAGCCCCAGCCACGTGAGCGCCTGACCTCTAAATGCATAGGCTTTAGGAGCCAGTTGGCAACATGTGCCGGGGTAGAAGAATCAGGAGATTATTCTTATAAACATGGAAGGGAGCAAAAAGGAAGGCTTGATTGGAATCCTTACAAGAATGGCTATATATTCTTTGGGACAGCAGAAACCTTTAAATATACAAACACATGGAATGTGGCAGCCTTGATGGGGAGGATTAAATACTCCGATGGAAAAAAAGAATCCAAAAATGAGGAGAAAGGAAAATCCTGAGTTTCTGAAATTGTTTGCAAAGAAACTGAAAGTCTATGACGGAATTTGGTCCTCATGACTGAAATGTTTCCTTGGTGTCGGATAAAGTATTGCTGTCGTATCTCTCTTTAGAAATTCTTCTTCTTCTTCTTCTTTTTTTTTTTTCTTATAATAAAAATCCCGTGGCAGCTCCTTGTCTGGAGGACTTTAAAAATAGGAGCTATTTCATCTGTCTGGAATGGTCTGTGTCAGCACTTGCCCTAGGCAAGGTTGCCACATAGGCAAAAACTCCCCCTTCCCTCCTCCTTCCCAGATGCCCCCTCCTCCACTGGCCCCCAATGCCCTTCATGCCCTTGCGCACCCCCCAACTCTGTGTGGGCTGACCCCCTTCTCCAGGACCATAGCTCCAACGTGACCTCGCACATAAAATCCAACCCCCTCTCCCCCCCCTTGGCTCTCTCCAGGTGCTGGGGATGCAGGAGGTGTCACCCCCGGTGGCTTATTTGCATTTTAAAATAGGACCCTGGTTAACCCACATGCATCTCGAGACGGTGGAGCTTTGGACGGTGTAACCAAGTGGAGCGAGGTCCAGGGGAGAGGGGAGGATTTGGGGTCGCTGGGGGAAGGGGGTGGGGTAGGCCGCCTTCCTGGAAGCTATTAAATCCCAGATGTGGCCCCCCCCCCCCCCCCCCCCCCCCGTTCAGCCGTGGCACTGCCTTGAGGGAGAGGGTAGGGGGCGGGAGGAGGGTGGCTGGACTCTCTGACCTCTCAAGGTTGCCATAAATTCTATGGGTCGGTGATTTCCAACTCCATTTCCCCTTGCTCGGCTTCCTGAGCGGCACCATGGGCACCGCGTGACTTGGCTTTAACTAGGGGTTCTCAGCGGCCTGTCTCTGTGCCTACCCGCCAGGGCCCAATTTTCCCATCACAGTCCTCCCTGCAACAGCTACCCTCGGGTTCAGCCACGCTGGCGGCTGGAGATCAGCCCCAGCCGCGCTCCGCTGGAAAAGAGATTTTCCGAGAGAGAACTTCAAAGCTCAAGCCCAGAAAAGGGGCTGTTTTGTGCTCACCATGTCCGTGGGCTTTGGGGGGGGGGCGGGAATGATGTGTGGCCTTATGTGAACGAATTGGTGGGAGATTTGGTGGGCAAGGCTGCAAAGTGAAGTCTACTCAAGGAACTCATGTGACCTAGTGGGCCAGTCTCATGTCAGAGCGACAGACATTCAAGAGTCCCTAGTAGGTGCCAGGCTCTGAGTTAGCCATGGTGAGTCACAAGAAAAATGAAGCGAGGTCCCTGCTATGAAGGGACTCAGTGGAATGGGGGAAGACAGACACCCTGGGTTAAGAGTGCCGTGTGTGGGGTAAGCGAGGGTGCTTGGGAGCCCGGAGGTTGCCCTTGACTCAACCTGTCGCTGATCGGGATCAGGGCAAGCTCTCCAGGGAAGACGGCATCCGAGCTGAGGAGGAGTGAGCCAAGCCAAAGAAGGGTGGCAAGGGCGGTCTGTGGAGAAGGAATGACAGGAGCAGAAGCATGAGGTGTGAAACCACTTGACAGGTGTGGGGCAGAGCGGGCTGCGATTATTAGAAAGGAAAATGCCAGCGAGGGGCAGGGGCGAGAGAAGAGGATGGAGGGGCAGGCACGGCCACGGGAGGCAGAGAGGGCCCAGCCTCCCGAGCCAGAGTATAGACTTTATCCTGAGGGGAGCCACAGAAGGGGTTTTAAGCAGGTCAGATTTGCATCTTGATTAAACTGTCAGTTTGGGGGAAATCATTCAAATTGCCTGTGGGATGAATTGATTAAAGAATTCCATTGAAAGGGTAGATTTGCAGATCTTGCCATAGTTAAGTGCAAGGCTCTCTTTTTCCAAGAGGGTTTGTCAAGAGTCTGAGGCTTTTCAGAGGGGGAGGGGGGGCACCTAAAACAATCTACAGGTCGATGCCTGTATATTTATCTGTAAAACATCGTCCTCTGAGAGGATGCAGGACCTCTAAATGGTGCTTACAGGAAACAGTGTCTGCAGAGAGTTGGGGGGCTCCTACCCGTCCTTCCACACTGCCTAACAGTATCAGATTGGGAACGCAAACTGTGCTATGCTCTCTCTGTTTTGTTTAGCAAAAGTCATCCGGGAAGGCGCTGTTTAACCTGAGTTGCAGCCACCTCAATCTCGCTGAAAAGGAGTATTTCGGATTAGAATTCTGTAGCCATTCTGGAAATAATGTAAGTTGGTTTCATTATAGGGTTCTTTGTGTCTACAATTGCCTCTGAAATGCAGTTTGCGGCTAGGTATGTAGGGCTCAAACCTGACTGAAAAATGAAAAAGCATTCAAACCCTTGCAAGATGCCTGGATTTAATAACAAGTTTCCCTCCTCGCCTATCTAAAATCATCTCAGGGGGCGCCTGGGTGGCTCAGTCGGTTGAGCGACTGCCTTCGGCTCAGGTCATGATCCTGGAGTCCCGGGATCGAGTCCCGCATCGGGCTCCCTGCTCGGCGGGGAGCCTGCTTCTCCCTCTGACCCTCCCCCCTCTCGTGTACTCTCTGTCTCTCTCATTCTCTCTGTCTCAAATAAATAAATAAAATCTTTAAAAAAAAAAAAAGAATGAGAAAAGAAGGGGCATCTGGGTGGCTCAGTCATTAAGCGTCTGCCTTCGGCTCAGGTCATGATCCCAGGGTCCTGGGATCGAGCCCCACATCGGGCTCCCTGCTCGGCAGGGAGTCTGCTTCTCCCTCTGACCCTCCTCCCTCTCGTGCTCTCTGTCTCTCATTCTCTCTCACAAAAAAATAAAAAAATAAAAATAAATAAAATAAAATCATCTCAGTTTACCGAACAAACTTTTCTCCCCTCTGCTCCTCTTCTGTCACCCCGAGAACAGCAACCTCTGCTTTATCTGTTCTGATTTCCCAGAGGCTGGACCTCAGCCTCCACAATGAAGACTCTTAACCTCACCAGTGAGGATTCAGGGGGCTCTTTCCCCCCACCCCCTCTCAGCTCCCAACATGCTCTGTGTCCTGCGTTGGCATATCTGTTATCTGGCACCTTCCCAGAAAGGCTCATTAGATCTATTAAGCTGGCATTTGGGGGCTGCAGGATTCAAATGCAGAGCCAAATGCCTTCATTAGTCTTTGTAGTAACTAATGAGCCTTGGATGTGACACCTTTGTCACCCTACTTAGGCAGGGGAGCAGTGATTCAAATGTCAACAACAAAGTTTATAGATCGACAACGTTCACTGTCACTGGAAAAATACAAGGGAGTTGATTGAGGGTCGTGGAGGTATGTCATCTCTTTGACACTGCTGTTTCTATCTATCTTTAGAAGGGGGTCTAAATAGCCTTGGTATTTGTTTATTTTGTGCTGACTTTTATCTGTTACCAAAAAAAAAAAAAAAAAAAAAAGCCTCACTCAATGCCATGCTCTACCCATTTTTTTCATTAATGTTATCACAGGTCTGGTTGGAACTGCTGAAGCCCATCACAAAGCAAGTAAAAAGTAAGTATGGGAAATCACTGCAGGGATCTAATTCCCAGTTACAACTTGAAAACATTTCAGCGACACTGCGCTATTCCTCACCAAATATAAGGGGAGAAAAGGGGCTTTGAGGCATTATTTTAATCCTTCACAGGGTCAGTGAATGTAGCAATTAAAAAAATCATTTTAATTTTGCCCAAGATGAAAAAAAATCATGCTGCTGGGTCTTCGGGTAGATTGGAAGAACTCGGGTAATGACAGCACTCTGGGGATTGGCTCAAGAGACAGATGAACAGGGAAAATTCAAATTTAATCTCGTACGTATGGGGAGGCCACACAGACATGGAAATTACAGTCAGACAAAATGAGGCCAATGTGTCATCCTGAACGAAGGGGGTAGGGGTCTGGGACTTCAAAGGGAAAGAAAGCAATTCACAGGAAGAAGAAAAAGTAAATGTTTGGTAAACAAATGTTGGCTGGGCCCCCGCTCAGAAACAATGGGACATAGAGGACTTTGATCAAACAGGCCTTGGGAGGTCCCTCCCTGTCTACCACACCTAGTTCATATTAGAATGTAGTTATCTAAGGTGATTGCTCTCTTCCTGGTACAGGCTCTCCTTTCCAACCTAAGTTTAGCCAGTTGAGGGGGAGGTGAAGAGCATGTCCTGAATTGACTGGGTTTTGATTGCTTTTAATTCAAAACAATCCTTTTTAAAGAGATTTTATTTATCTGAGAGAGAGAGAGAGAATGAGAAGGAGAGGGGAGCAAAGCCGAAGGGACAAGCCGACTTCCCACTGAGCAGGGAGCCCGACTAGGGGCTCGATTCCAGGACCCCTAGAACAGGACCTGAGCCAAAGACAGACACTTAACCCACTGAGCTCCTTAAAATAATCTAAGTGCCCCACTGGCCCATCTTAGGCAGCCTGACCTTGTTACTTATAATGTCAATCTTCAATGCCATTCACCTTCTGCCTGAAGATGTTTTAGTTTTATCATGCCACAGACTTTGTCCATTTGTTTCAGTTCACATTCGGGTGCCTGCTATGTACGAAATCTCCCCCACCCCCCACCCCGTATTTCACCACCTAGTGTGGCGGTTCTGAAATTGCAGTGTGTATTAGGATCACTTGTTCAAATGCAGATTCCCAGGCCTCGTTCCTGGGTTTGGGGGCAGGCAACCTGCATGTTAAATTCCACAGGTGTTTCTGAATGCAGGGGGAGTTCAGTCAACACTTTGAGAAATGCTGTCCTGTCTCTTTGCTCTACCTGCCCTCTCCGTGTTGGTTCTGTCTGCTCCCACAGCATTTTATTTATTATTATTATTATGTTTTTAAAGACTTCATTTATTTATTTGAGACAGACAGAGAGAGCACAAGCAGGGGGGAGCAGCAGAGGGAGAGGGAGAAGCAGGCCCTTCGTATTCCAACCTCTCCCGACGGTGGCAAACTCCCTTCAGGCGTAGGGCTCTCCGGGAAAAGAAAAGATGTCCACCTACACCGGAATTTCAAATTAAGAAAGAAAGATTTTCTCTGTGTAAGGATGTCCTTGCGTTCTCTTTGTTCATCTACAGTTCCGATCTAACTGGAGCCCTCTGTCCTCCCTCTCGGGCTTGGCCGGTACTCAGTGCTCGGTACTCAGTGCTCGCAGCCGTCTGCGGGGCTGCCTCTTCTACCGGGCTATGAGGGCTTGCCCTTCCTAGGACAATGCTTGGCCTAGAATAGGCACTTGACAAATATTTGCTGAACGCCTGCTGCGAATGGTGCACGGATGCGTTTGCTTTTGATGCAAAGAGTTTCTTTTCTTCTTTTCAAATGCGAGTAGGAGTGAAGGCAAGTAGATGTGTTTTCTTAAAGCAGATTTTAAGCAACAAAGAAGCAGCAGTCCAGCCACTTCTAGTTCCCCTTATGAGATGCTTGATGCCAGATGATAATCACCTGCTTCTAAAGCTGGGCTCTTCTCTCAGCCAGGAATGCAGAATCCCAAGTGGCAAGTGGTATATATTTTTTAAACGGGACACTTCTTAGAGGACCCAGTAGGGCCCAGAAAGAGGCGCAGCTTTACAAAAAGAAACTCAGAGGGAGAGAGGGTAGAAGGGGGGGGCAGGAGAACTTTCCCTATTGCTTTCCACATAAAGACACAATCCAGAGATAGCACCATCTTAGAAATGTGAAAAATTGAAATTTAAAAGAAAAGTCTGAGGGAGGGAGTGATGGGAGAGGGGGGAAGAGGACAGGGGAAGTGTGTGTGTGTGTGTGTGTGTGTGCGTGCATGTAAAGACCTGTAACTGTTGTGATGGACATTTAAAAAAAACTTATGGAGATATTGTGTTTTAAGATCCTAAGGAGGTTGTTTTCAAATTTATGGTGAAATTTTTCCCAGTGGACCCGGGACATCTTCGAGAAGAGCTTACAAGGTAGAGTAACTTCCCTGTGTGTCTGCTGCATGGTGTTACTTAAGAATCATTACTCTCCATTTATCAGAGAATGGGCTTCTAGCCTTCTTTGGAAAGCTTGGCTCTCAGTCACTCTCCAGGAGATGGTGAGGAGCTGGAGAGAAGATGGGCCTGGCTGGTCCCCAAAGTGTTAATCTTCCAAAGGGTGGGGACCTCAGGGAGAAGGAAGGGTGGCATCTAGCAGGGCAGCCAGCCTGGGGTTCTGCCATTAATTGCTACAACAGTAAGAGCGCTTGCCTTCATTGCATCTGTGTTCCAACCAGAGGGCTGCTTGATGGCACAAATGTGATACCAGCTAATTTCTGTGGATATTGAAAACCGGGCGTGCGCACGTGTATGTGTGTGTGTGCATCCCATAGGTAGAGAGGGATGATGACGTATACTTATAAAAAATTTAAAAAGTAAAAAAATAAAGTTTAAAAACTGATTTAAATAAATTATTTATCATGTATAATATAAATCATTGATAATTTTATAATTCTTTAATAATTATAAATTATTCATAATTTTATATAATTTTAACAACTATTTATAATTATACATTATTCATAATTTTAGATAGGTAAAATATTTTACACTCGTAAAAATGAAAAAGTTAAAAAGTCACCAGTATAAAACATTTTAAAAAAGAGTATATTTATGCTTATACACAATGCCCTTCAAAATCAAAACGTAAACCTACTTCTCCAAAAATGCATTGTCAACCTAACACTCCTCCAAACCCGAATGTGCTTGCTAGACTCTAGAATCTTACCCTACAAGGGATATAGGCGATCATCGAGCCCAGCCCTCCTGGTTCACAGAGGAGGAAACGGTCCCGGGAGCTAGAGTGACTTGGCCGGGCCTTCCCCACCACAACAAGTCCAGTTCTTCTTTGCCCCTTTTGTACAGGGGGCCTTGTTTGCTGAAGGGTCTCTGCAGACGTCACTTTTCACAAGTCTGTCACTGGCTCGCCCCCTCTTTCCACATTTGTGAGTTGTAGGCCACTTTCCCAGATAACCTGATATCTTGGTATCTGTATCGGTTTGCACTTGCTAACCCATTTCAGTTGAGTCTCACATTATGACCAATTTTAATGGAGATAAACTCTCTCCCCCCGCCGCCAAAAAGAAGAGAATGAGAAAATCAATGCGATGATAAATGATTCATCAGCTGTTCAGAGCGAGGATTTGGTATTTGTAGCAGGCAGCTGCCCTCTTAATAGCAAGGAACGTGTCAAATGACAAGAAGTTTCCTTTCTTGCTTGCTAGGAGCAAAATGAGATTCTCTTTCCCTTTAGCACTCGAGGCCTATTATTCTCATTTACATCTATATTTGAAAGCAGGCAATGGCAAAGGTTGGACTTCCTTTATTTTTTCCTCGGTTGAAGATACTTAACCATAGTTGACTTCACAAGGTTGCCTTGTTTGGGGCCAATCCATGAGTTTCTGAGAGTGGTATGCAAATATAAATTTTCTGAGTCATTTCTAGCCCATTAGGGGAGCTCATAATTCGAAGGTTTATAATGAAGAGCGCATTTATAAATTGAATAATCACCTCCTAATTTTACTTGCTTTTTCTAATCTAGATTTTTATCCATCACCTGCAATTAATTTTGATTTACCACATTGCTTTCAAGGCTTAATTGATTTAAATAAAAAAGTCCAGATAAAACGTTATTTAGAAAGGCACATCTTATATTGGGAAATGCCCACAGTAGATACTCCATGAATGTTTGAGTGTATAAAATAAAATATTGGAACCAATTTTGGACCACGGAAGAAAGCGGTCAATGATAGAATCTTCTTTTTACACATCTTTTCAAAAGTTGATTCTCTGCTGATAAGGGCTTAAAAGTGTGGGGCAAATGCAATCGCTTTGGCAAAGCTCTGGTACCTACCTGCACTTTCTGGGTCCCTGACGAGCCTTCCGTGGGCAAAAGGGCAGCGTGGCTTCATTCCATTCAGAACATAGGAATTTCCTGCCTGCTCTGTGCCAAGTGCTGGGCCGGGCTCTGGTGATATGGAGAAGGTGGTCCGGGTGAAGCGTGGTATCACGTCCCTGATTCCTGCCACACAATCTTTTGGATAGGAGGAGGCCTCAGTTCAGTGCGTGACCTGACATCTGGCCACAGTTTCACTATCTTCGGGCAAAATGACCTTGCCAAAATCACCTAACCTCTGCCTTTCTATAATTGTAAAAGGCGGGTGATTGTTCCTGCCCCACCAACCTAAGTTGTTTTGAAAGGGAGTGCTTGATAGCATTTGGTAAACAGCGGCCCGAGCGGGCTTGGTCTTGCTGAATCTCCCTTCCTCTCGGGCTGGGTATGTATGTGGCTTTGCTAAGTGGCAGAAGCCACGAGAGGGTGATTGGCCAACTCCCTCAAACTGGCGGGAGGATTTAGCCGGGGTGATTCCTAATGGCTGTAGGGCCTGCCAAAATGCTGGAGCAGCCGAGCTGCGGTCTGGGGCTGGTTTGGGGCTGAAGCAAAGCTCATGCATTAGTGACCATCCCAAAAAGGCATCTCACTGTCTGGGGTGCCGTTTCTTTCTTGCAACATCTTGGATCTGGGAGAAAGGAAACGATTCTCTCTCGTTCCTGTTTCTTTCTCAAGAGATTTTCCCCCAACTTCTTTTCAGGTATCTTTTTACTCTTCAAATAAAGAAGGATTTGGCTCTAGGAAGGCTTCCATGCAGTGAGAACTGCACAGCGTTGATGGCATCTCACATCCTACAATGTAAGTAGCAAACGTCGGCTTCGGGACCTGTCAGGCAGATAGAGAACCGAGCAAAGGAGCGGAGCACCGCCCCCCCCCCCCCCCCCCGCCCTCCTGTGTCCATCCTGTGTTAGGACCTACGGAGGAGAGAAAGGGGCAAAAGGTGTACGGAATCCGCATGGGCCAGTAGAAAGAGGCTGGACATTAGAATCACTTAGCTTTGGATTCCAACTCCAGTCCCTGCTATGTTCTAGCTGTTGTAGGCTTGGGTGAAGTCCCCTCACTTATCTGTGCCTCAGGTTCCTAGTCTTTACAATAGTGACAAGAGTACCTTCTCACAGAGTGGTTACGTAGATTAAAAGTAAATGCCGATTTTCTTGCTATCATGGTGTAACCCCCCCCCCCCCCCCCCCCCCCCGCCTGGGGCTTGCTGTCCTGGAGCTGGGTTGGACTAATCTGTCCCAGCATGGATTTTGCCAGGCAAGCTCCACTCTCTCTCTGCTTGCCCCAGGATGCATTTCTGGTACGTGCTTTCTGCAGCACATTGTCATGTTTGATGGGATTTTTGCGTTGCTCTTTATCATGAGTCTGGAGAACAAAGCACAGAGGACAGCAGGTGAAAGAGGCTAAAAGGGAAAAAGGCCCCAGGCGTCTATTAGAGTTCCCCATTTGCTGGCAGCCAAGTAGTTGGACTAGGGCTGAATAACGAAGGCAGGGACAAGGAGACCCGGGGAACGGTGGGGGCCTGCTTGGGAGGGGGTGAAGCTGGGCAGGCCAGGCTTCTCCTGCACCCCTAAGGCCGGGGTCGAGGCAGCTGGAGATAGTATTTCGTCTCCTATGGCCGGTGGACTCTCTCTCTCTCTCCTAGAGAGGCCTTCCAAGATTAGGCTGTTCTTAACCACTTTTGCGGGATCCTAACGTCATTTTTTGGCTTGTTTCACAAGTTCAGTGTTGACCTCTGTCCCTGACCTTCCTGACAGGCCAGAGCTGGTAGACTTCTGATTTCACTGGGAACACCAGAATGAAGTGCTTGGATAGATAGAGACAGTATCTAAATCAGTGTTTACCAAGGGATGCCTGCCTGGGACAGGTGACAACAGCCCCAGGATATCAGGAATGCAGTGGACGGTGAGAGCAATAGTAATCAGGAAAGGCTTCTGGAGGGGGTGGCTTTTGTGCTGGACCTTCAAGGGGCACGTAGGAATCGGATAGGTAGTGATGGGCAGAGACGCAGCTCAGGTACAGCTCAAGCATGGGGTCTGTTTAGGAGAGGTGGCAGAAAACTACGCGTCATACTGATGGGCTTTGAATGCTTGGCCGGTGGGGGGCACAGGGTAAGGCGGATAGACAAAACAATGTTGGGGAGCCCAATTTCATTCTTAATAGCTGCGCATTATGGATTTGGGCATTCCCTAGTGGCCATTTGAGGTATAGCACAGAGGGCTTCAGTTTTTCTAGAGGATAATTTGTCAATACAAGTTCTTTCCATAGGGAAAAATCTAAAGTTTCAGTGAGTCCCACTCCTCACAGTGCATGTCACTGGATGCTAAGGCAGTGTGCAGAACATCAGCAGGAGGTTCATTCATTTGCTCATTTATTCATTCGTCCGATATTTATGTCCTAGGCACTCAAGAATCTCCACATGCTGACCTCATCTGCCTAAGTCTCTCTTACACATCCTTTTTATGAACGCTTTTAGTAACTTCTTTGTCATTCATTCAACAAAAACTTATTGAGCACCTACCACACGGCAGGTACTGTTATAGGCACGGGGAACACGGCAGTGAAGTGAACAGACACAAAGCCTTGCTCTCATGGAGCTCATATTTTGGCAGTGGAGGACCATCAAGACAATAACCGAAATAAGGAAATATATCATGTATGTTAGAAGGTGGTAAGTGCATCAGAGAAAATCACATATGGAAGGAAGATGGGGAATCCTGGGGGTGGGGACTGAATTTTTCAATAAAGTAGTCAGGGTAGGCTTCACTGTGAACGTGACAGGTGAACAAAGACTTGGAGGAGGTGAGAGGGGCAAGCCTTGCAGAAATCGGCTGGAAGGTTGTTCCAGGCAGAGAGAACATCCTGTGCAAAGGGCCTGAGGTGGGAGTGTGCCAGGAGTGTTCAAGAAACATTTAAGCAGGCTTTGTGGCTGGCTGGAGCTGGGGGGTGGGGGAGAGTCACCGTGGAGGGCCTTAGAAGCCTATTAAAGACCTAGAACATAACTCCACACAAGATGGGAAACCACTGATGAATGTTAAGCAGAGGAATGAGATGATCTGAATTAGGTTTTAATGGGAACATGTTGGCCGCCAGGGTGAAAACCTTCCAAGGGAATGGTGGAAGTGGGGAGACCAGAGAAGAGGCCATTGCAGTAGAAAGAGGTGATGGTACTCTGGGCCAGTGTGGTAACAGTGAAGATGCTCAGAACACTTGCTATCTTCTTTGACTGCTGATATTTACTCATTTGTGTTTTGTAGGTCTCCTCCTAGATTGTCATAGTCTTGCATGGAGTGAAAAACCAGCAGTCTTATGCATTCTTGTGTTTTCCTAGGGTCAACATAGGGTCAGGGTCTTGTGCTTAATAAATAGTAGGGGTGATGTGTGTGTGTGTGTGTGTGTGTGTCTAATTTTTTTTTAAGATTTTATTTTATTGGGAGAGAGAGAGAGAGAGAGAGAGAGCGAGGGAGCAAAAACAGCTCTGTTGAGGTATAATTTACTTATCATAAAATTCACCCTTTTAAAGACTACAACTAAGCAGTTTTTAGTAAATTTACAAAGTTGCACAACCATTACCACAATCCAGTTTTAGAACATTCCCATCACACTGAGAGACCTCTCGTGCCCATCTGCAGTGACTCTGTTCCCACACTCAGCCCCAGTAACCACTAATTTACTTTCTGTTTCTATAGATTTTGCCCTTTCTAGACATTTCAGTGAGAATGATAAAATATGTGGTCTTTTGCATCTATGTGGCTTTGTTTCACTCAGCATAAGATTTTTGAAATTCATGCATGTTCTAGCATGAATCGCAGCAGTTTCTTCCTTTCTTTTGCTGAGTAGTATTCTATTTTATGGACATGCCCCATATTGTTCATCTCTGTACTTGACTGTGGACATTTGGATTGTTTCCAGCTTAGCTAATATGAATAATGTTATGAACATTCATGTACAAATCTTTGTTTGGACACATTCTCATTATCTCTTGAATAGATTCCTAAGAGGGTAATTGCCTCATCTTCAGGTAAATTTATGTTGAAAATGTTAAGAAACTGCCAAACTGTTTTCCAAATTGTAACGATAAAACCAGAAACGTATCACATTTCCAATTTCTCCACATCTTCACCAATAGTTGGTATTATCTACTTTTTTTTGGTTGTGGCCATTCTAGTGGATATGAAGAGATATCCTATTACAATTATAATTCACATTTTCCTAGTGAGTAATGATGTGGAGCACCTTCTCATCTGTTTATTAACAGTCCCTATGTTTTTGTTGGCAAAATGCCTTTCAGATCTTTTGCCCATTTTAAAATGGATTGTTGTCTTCTTATTGAATTTTAAGAGATTTTTGTATATCCCTTTTTAAATTTTATTTATTTTTTAAAGTGATCTCTACGTGGGGCTCAAACTCATGACCCTGAGATCAAGAGTCGCATGCTCTTCCAACTGAGCCAGCCAGATTTTTATATATTCTGATTAAAAATCATTTATGAGATATGTAATTTGAAAAATTTTCCTCCAGCTTGGTGGCCTGACTTTCTGTTTCTTAATCCTGGCTTTTGGAGTAGAGCAGTTTTTAATTTTGGCAGAATTCCCCTTTCTCAATATGTTTTAGTGGATCGTGCTTTTGGTGTACCTAAGAACTCTGCCTAACCTAAGGGCACAAAGATTTTCTCCTGTTTTCTTCCAGAGCCTTTGCAGGTTTGCCTCTTAGATTTAGATATATGACATTTTGAGTTATTTTTTTTTTTTTGTCTGCTTGTATGATGTATGCTATGAAGTAGGGATCCGACTTCATTTTTTTTTTTTTCATGTGGTTGTCCATTTTCCCCATTTGTTGAAAAGACTATCATTTCCCCCATTGAATTGTCTTGGCATCTTTTTAAAAAAACCAATTGACCATTAATGTAAGGGTTTATTTCTGGATTCTTAACTATGTTCCATTGATCTATATGTCCTTATGTCACTATTACACTGTCTTATTTATTGTAGCTTTGTATTAAGTTTTGAAATAGGAAAGTGTATATCTTCCAACTTCATTCTTTTTCTAAATTGTTTTGGCTATTTTGCATCCTATGCGTTTCCATGTAAGTTTTAAGATCATCTATCAATTTATATTAAAAAAAAGTGGTGGGAATTGCATTGAATTTATAGATAAATTTTGGCACAATTACCAGCTTAACAATATTGAGTCTTAATAATATATAATGCATGATCCTCAAATGTCTCTCCATTTATATAGATCTGTTAAAAAATTCTCTCAGCAATGTTTTGTAATCATCAGTATACAAGCCTTATACTTCTTTTTGTTAAATTTATTCCTGAGCATTTTATTTTTTTAGATGCTATTGTAAATAGAACTTTCTTAGTTTCATTTTTGGATTGCTCACTGCTAGTGTATGCAAATGCAAGTACTTTTTGTATATTGATCTTCTATTTTGCTACCTTGATGAACTCCTATATTCTAGGAGTTTTTTGTGGATTTCCCAGGATTTTCCACACACATGACCAGGTTGACTACAAGTAAAGACAGTATTATCTCTTCCTTTTCAGTGCAAATTATTGATATTTTTTCTTGTTGATTAATTGCACTGGCTAGAGCCACCAGTACAATGGTGGATAGAAGTGACAAGAACAGACGTCCTTGTCTTGTTTCTGGTCATAGGAGAAAGCATTCAGTTTCTCACCATTTAGTATGAATATGATGTTACCTGTAGGTTTTTCATAGATAAACTTTATCAGGTTGAAGAAGTTCCCTTCTATTCCTTGTTTCTTGGATTTTTAAAACTTTTTTATTATTGTATTTTTTTTTTTTTTTGAAAGAGAGAGAGAGCAGGGGGTGGGTGAGGGGCAGAGAGAAGGAATCTTAAACAGGCTCCACGCCCAGTGTGGAGCTGGATGCAGGGTTCGACCTCATGACCCTGAAATCATGACCTGAGCTGAAATCAAAAGTCAGACACTTAACCGACTGAGCCACCCAGGCATCCCTGCATGTTTTTGTTTTTTTTTAATCATGAAATGGTGTTGGATTTTTTCCAAAGCTTTTCTGCATCATTTTGAAATGATAATGTATTTTGTTGTCCCTTATTCTACTGGAATAGTATATCACATTAATTAATCTTCACAAGTTGAACTGATCTTGCTATCCTGGGATAAATCCCACTAGGTCATGATGTGTAATCCTTTTTTTATGTTTCTGGATTCAGTTTACTAGTATTTTTGCCTCTGTATTCATGAGGTACATTGATCTGTAGTTTCCTTGTGATGACTTTGTCTGGTTTGGGTATCGGAGTAATACTGGCCTCATAGAATGAATTGGTAAATATTTCTTCTTCTATTTTCTGGAAGAGTTTGTGAAGAATTGGTCTTCATATCTTCTTTGAATATTTGATAGAATTAATCAGTGAAATCATATGGGCCTGATTGTGTTTTAATGAGATTTGTATGTTTATCAATTTTGGCAAAAAATAAATTAAAAAGCCATTGATTTGGCCTTTTTTAAAAAAGCTTGTTACATGAGGATTTTCATTATAATGTGACTTTTATTTTTTCAATAATGTGACTTTTAAAAAATATACACTACATACCTCATTTGTCATGAGCATGTCAGCGAGCATGTCATCTGTCTAAAATGTAATAAAAAATCAAGAGAAAAGAGGAAGTAAGTTTCCAGCACTCAAAATCAGTGTCCCATGTCCATGTATTTTAGTTACAGGATTTCACGGAGAATGTATTTACTCTTACAATTCATAAAATGTTAATAGTTTTGGATATCTAGGTTCTCAGTTAGCAGTCATAATTACAACCAAGTGTGGAGACCTTTTCGGGAGAAGTCAGTAACCAGGAAGTGATTCATATCAATCTGACAGAGAGGGAAAAGGCATAAAAATTATAAAGAAGACACAATAGTTCAAAAATCGAAACATTTTGAAGCCATTAACTATAGGGGCAGATATTCCTGTATACCCCAATCACCTCTGTAGGTATTGTGCTATGCCAGATGTTTATAACAGTAAACTAGAGACATCTAGAAAAGAGTAGATTATGATCAGGGATAAGCAGCCAGTGATTTGGAAAAGCCAGAATGATTTCCAGAATGATTCATTTACTGGGGACTCCAGATAGCTGGGATTTTACTTGTTTCGTACAGAGTGATGAATGGCTGTGGCTGGCTCGCGCGGTACTGGGCATTTATAGTCTCCTTTTCTGATAATGTACAGTCAGGGTGGAGTGAGATTAAGGGCCCGTATGAGTTTGCTAGGGTTGCTATAACAAAATACCAGAGATCTGAGGGCTTAAAGGGCCGAAATGTATTTTCTCACAGTTCTGGAGGCTGGAAATCCAAGCCTGAAGTGTCGCAGCTTTGGTATCTTCTGGGGCCTCTCTGCTTGGCTTGCAGATTGTTGCCCTCTGGATGCATCCTCACCTACCCTTTGCTCTGTGCACCCCTGTTCCTGGTGTCTCTCTGCAGGGGCAAATTTCCTCTTCTTATAAGGACACTAGTCAGATTGGATTAGGGCCCACCTTAGGGACTCATTTTAACTTAATCCCTTCTTTATAGGCCCTATCTCTAAATACAGTCACATTCTGAGGTATGGGGTTTAGGACTTCCACAAGAATTTGAGGCGGGCAGGGGGGGCGAGGGAGGGGCACCCAGTTCAACCCTGGGTGACTGGTGACTGGTGAGAAGAAAAAGATCAGAAACAGAGTGTGGAGGAAGGAATTAATGAAATAGTCATCTGGGTGTTTATAGCAGCAATGTCCACAATAGCCAAACTGTGGAAAGAGCCAAGATGTCCATCGACAGATGAATGGATAAAGAAGATGTGGTATATATACACAATGGAATATTATGCAACCATCAAAAGGAATGAGATCTTGCCATTTGCAACGACATGGATGGAACTGGAGGGTATTATGTTGAGCGAAATAAGTCAAACAGAGAAAGACATGTATCATATGATCTCACTGATATGAGGAATTCTTAATCGCAGGAAACAAACTGAGGGTTGCTGGAGTGGGGGGTGACTGGGTGATAGACACTGGGGAGGGTATGTGCTCTGGTAAGCGCTGTGAATTGTGCAAGACTGTTGACTCTCAGATCTGTACCTCTGAAACAAATAATGCAATATATATTAAGAAAAAAAAAAAGAAGAAGAAGAAGGTAGCAGGAGGGGAAGAATGAAGTGGGGGAAATCGGAGGGGTAGAGGAACCATGAGAGACGATGGACTCTGAAAAACAAACTGAGGGTTCTAGAGGGGAGGGGGGTGGGAGGATGGGTTAGCCTGGTGGTGGGTATTGAGGAGGGCACATTCTGCATGGAGCACTGGGTGTTATGCACAAACAATGAATCATGGAACACTACATCTAAAGCTAATGATGTAATGTATGGGGATTAACATAAGAATAAAAAAAATGTAAAAAAAAAAGAAAAAAGAAACAACCTCAAATATCGGGGACTAAAAGTAATAAAAACAAATTAATCTCTTATAAAAAAAAAAGAAATAGTCATCTGGGGGTGTCTGGTGGCTCAGTCGTTAAGCATCTGCCTTTGGCTTAGGTCATGGTCCCGGGGTCCTGGGATCGAGCCCCGCATCGGGCTCCCTGCTCGGCGGGAGGCCTGCTTCTCTCTCTCCCACTTACCTTGCTTGTGTTCTCTCTCTGGCTGTCTCTCCCTGTCAAATAAATAAAAAAAAAAAAAAAAAGAAAAGAAAAGAAATAGTCATCTGTGATCCCGGAGCCTGTAAGACATACACTGTGCCTGTGATTTACTATACTGAGACTTCAGAGCAACGCCCTGCTTCTGATCTGAAAAAGACTCAGTTCCCCCCCCCCCATATCCTAAAATATAAATTGATATAAGGCATGGCGTGGCGGGGGGGCTAGGGCCACATTGGCTGCAAAGAAAGGGCTGTTTGGGGGAGGCCAGAGGGTCTGCTGAGTGCTCCATTCCTAAACTCCTCAATGCTAATGTGAAAAATGTTATTTCTCTGTCATGCAGCAGAACTGGGAGACTTTCATGAAGAAACAGATAAGAAACATCTGGCACAAACCCGCTACTTACCGAACCAAGACTGTTTAGAGAGCAAGATCATGCACTTTCATCAGAAGCACGTGTGAGTACTTCAGCCAGCACCAGCTTCCACCAGCAGGGAACACGAAAGCTGGGGACAGACTCTTAAAAGCAAATCCTTAAGTCAGAGAAGCTTCGGGCTCAAGAATACACTGAGCTCCTCACGGAGCCCTTAGGGCGGAGGTGTCTTTCTTGCTGCATTTATTAGGCTCATAAATTATTTCCCTTTGCAGTGGCAGGAGCCCAGCTGAAGCTGACATTCTGCTACTGGATATAGCAAGGAAGCTGGATATGTACGGCATCAGGCCTCACCCCGCCAGTGACGGCGAAGGCATGCAGATCCACCTGGCTGTCGCTCACATGGGAATACTGGTGTTACGGGTAACAACTTTAAAGGCCTGCAGCTTTGGGGGTTATCTTGGCTCCAACGTGGGTGTCCGTTCCTGAGGTGACCTCGCCCCTCAGTCTTACCACCAGCCAGAAAGGGAGGGGATACTTGCGAGTATCTCCCCTCGATGTGCTTTGCTTCCCTTTGTGGCCTCTGACGGGCTGTTGTGACTCTGAGGAGCTCACACATTCGATCGGGCCAGCACGGTGGAGAGAGAAAGTCAAGAGGCCCTTTGGAACTTGTAGACCCTAAAAACGAATATGGATTTTGGCATCTAAAAGCTTCGGCTGTGACACCAAGTGCACTCACCTTGTCCAAATCCACCAGAAACAACCCGCAGGGACCAAATTAGAGCACCGAAGCAAGTCTTCTAGCAGACTCGGCTAGAAGAATCTTGGCCTTCTCATGTTTCGGGTTGTAAACTTTGCAGCACAAGAGTACACGGGTGGGCAAAAGACCCAATGGGCCACAGGCACAGCTGTTCCCCCGGGAAGGAATTTTACCCATTCCACTCTAACCGCCCCCCATCGGTCCTACTGCGTGGGAGAAAATGGGGAAGCGGAGGGGAGCAAGGCTGTCATGTTAGTTGTGAGCTCTTCCGGCGGGAGTACTTCTGTGGACAGTGTGGAATGACGTAGCCAGTCTATTTTGTCCCACCCCAAATCCAGTCAAAGAATACTTGTGTACTGAGTACTCTGTATGTGTTCAGTATTGCATTCTTCAAACAAAATCGGCTTTATTGAGATATAATTTGCATACTACACAATTCATCCGGTTTAACTGTACAATTCAGTGGGTTTGAGTATATTTACAGAGTCGGGCAGCAACTATTCCTTCATTCATCCTTCCGTCAGTACAGTTACTGTATAGCCCCCTGTGCCAGATATTAGAGCTGCAGAGGGAAACAGGAGGGATCCTGACTTCGTGGACCTTGTATTCTACAAAGTCTTTTTTTTTTTTTAAAGATCTATTTATTTATTTATTTGAGAGAGAGAGAGAGAGAACATGAGCAGGGGGAGGGGCAGAGGGAGAGGAAGAGGAAGAGAGACCCTCAAGCAGACTCCCTGCTGAGTGCAGAGCCCAACACGGGGCTCGATCCCAGCACCCTGAGATCATGACCTGAGCTGAAATCAAGAGTCGGACCCTCAACTGGCTGAGCCATCCAGGTGCCCCATGGACCTTGCATTCTAATAGGTGGAAGACGGACAATGAAACAAGCAATTTTAAACAAATGCCATGTTTTTGTGCTCGAAGAAGTATGGGGTGCTAAGGTAACACGTGTGAAAAGGGTTTAACATTTAAGCTAAGGGGATGCCTTGGCTGGCTCAGTTGGAAGAGCTTGCGACTCTCTTGATCTCGGGGTCATGAGTTCGAACCCCACGATTGGGGTAGAGATTACTAAAAATAAGTAAATGAATAAACTTAAAAAATTTTAAGCCAAGACCTGAGGAAGTTGTCCAGATCAAAGAGATAGGGTTGGCAGGTGAGGGAGGGGATTCCAGACAAAGGGCACACAGACAAAGGCCCCAAGAAAGGTAAAGGATGGCACAGTCAACAAACTAATGTTAAGCATGACCTATGGCTCCGGTCATTAAGATACAATTTATTTGGAGAGACCAGAGAAATAGTGATCAATATCAGTCAATAAGTAATCAAAAGCTAATCTATCCTATCTACCTGAAGTTGCACGACAAGTATACATAACAAACTAATAAATGTGGTTACCCATAGAGAATGGATAGATGGGTACAGAGGGACAGATATAGGAGTGATGGTGGTGGGAGCGAGACTTCTCGATGTATATATTTTTTGTATACCTTTGATTTTTGGACCATGTCAACAAACAAATATCAAGCAACCGACCAACCAACAAATGGATAGGTATAACTATATACAATATATATATATATATATACACACACACACACAAATATATATATATGTTGTACCTATATATAGGTATAACTATATATAACAGAATATTTTAGAGGGGATGCTACCAGACTGGCAAGACAGCTTGACTATGGAGAAGGCAATTCTGGGTAAGGAGAATGAGGAGCCCTCTGGGAAGGAAGGTACAGGGTTGGATGGAAGGGTGTTTTTTAGGATCAGTGGGATAGAAGGCTGGATGTTCAATACAGCTGAGGCAGGACACCCCAGCCAAACGTGTTTAGACTCGATGACACATGCAGTGAGGAGCTATGGAAGGTGTTTGAGTAAATGGGGTGGCAGTCATCCCTTCCTCCCATGATCTCCCTATCCTGGCTGGAAACCTTCCCCAGGCATACCCCTTCTTGCTTGCATTTCGGAGCAGCCTTATGTCTCCCTCGAATGTTTTCTTTGGCCACAGCTTCTACCTAGTCATACCTAGTATGATAGGATCAGTCTGTGCAAGAGGTAGGATGGTCCCATGCATGAAGTGCGTTTTCTAGCGGGTTCTCATTGTCTTCCAAACCAGCTTGTGCTGACATTCACCTTGAAATCTGCCATGCCTGTCATTACAGGGAAATACAAAGATCAATACTTTCAACTGGGCTAAAATCCGCAAGTTGAGTTTTAAGAGAAAGCATTTTCTCATCAAACTTCATGCCAACATCTTGGTAAGTAGCTTTCTAATAAATTCTTTTACTTTCTGTTCACTTGGGATTTCTTGGTTGTTTCAGCAAATGGTCTGAATGTGAGTGGTGAAAGCTGAAGGGTGATGTACTCTCTCTTTTGCCTCTACATAAATAAACCAGAGCGTTAGTCATATTTTCACTAGAGGCAAAACACCAAGAAATCCTATTGGCAGTTCAGAATGAATAAACTAATGGGAAAACGGGGTGGCTGGAATGAAAGACAAGTCTCCTTAAAAACCATTTTTTTTTTCCAGGGATCTGATAAGTCAAATGGAAGTGACCAGATCTAGGGCTATGGACATGTTTATTTGCTGTTATCTGCCCCATTTTATATTTTCATCTCCTTTCCTTAAACAAAAATAACTGAACACCGAGTACATGCCAAATAACTGAACACCTACTATTTGCCAAAGCAGGATGCGGCGGAGGTGGGGTGGGGGTGGGGGTATAGATTAGGCAAAAGCAGCTCTTATTGGTCAAGGCTGCATTGTACAGGGTACGACAAAGGTACTAGAAAGGATGTTCTTTTGTGACTCTAAAGGAAATGAAAAATGACCTACAGAAGATGCAGTAGTGTGGCCTTACACAAAAGTGTTCATTTGAGCAGTTCAGGAGACTGTCTCCAGTGTGAAGCTTGTGGAGTGTCCCAGGGCTGCATGTGGGAACCTGTAAAGGAATGAGGGAAGGGGGGCTCAGCAGAAAACAGGGCTGCATGCACGCATGCACAAATAGGGGTCATAGAGTGGGTTGGGGGGATGGGGAAAACTTGAACTTTAGGTCTGAAAGGCTAAGCTCCCCTAGAGCAGATTAGGATATGCTAAATGAGCAATACAGAGCATCGTAGAACAAGGCAGCATAGGGAGGACTAAATGTTTCTAGCTGGTATGTTAAAAAGACTCCTATACATGTAATTATCCTATAAAGCCTACCTACCATCTGTAAGGAAATCGCCTCCTCCCCCTGTTTCCTGTTGGTCATTTATAACTTCTTGTCACCTTGAAAGGATGTCCTTTGATGTTCATTTTAACCTAATTTACAACTTCATAAAAATGGTCCTGGCAGAGAAGAGGGGGTAAAGATGTGTTTGAGGTACGGGGGCTCCAGAGCGAGATTGGCTTCTCAGAGAAGGCTCTGTTTTTGAGCAGTGGCCCTGTCTGTTCCTCAGAAGGTCGCCAATCATTTGGTTTTAGTAGGTGTGAAGCCTGTAGGGAGCCAAGTGGAAAATCAGAAGCTGCACGGGCCCCTGGACCAATAGTTTGGAAAGCACTGGGATTCGAAGTTCTTTGATAGTCTTGAAGGATGTTTGGCTTGATGGAAATTGGTTTACACAGGTGTTGTGCAAGGACACCTTGGAGTTCACCATGGCCAGCCGAGATGCCTGCAAGGCTTTCTGGAAGACCTGTGTGGAGTACCATGCTTTCTTCAGACTTTCTGAAGAGCCCAAATCCAAGCCCAAAACCCTACTGTGCAGCAAGGGTTCCAGTTTCCGCTATAGGTAATGAAATACTGCACATAGGTCAACTGTACACACAACTTCTTTTCAGTAACGTGGAAGGCAGTGGAAGGCGTTGAATTCTAGAAGCAATGAAGAATCACTTAAAGGGTGATCCCCTTTACTGCTCCTTCTCTGCGTGACACATGAGGTCCATATTTCCCAACAGGGAGACAGGAGGAGGGAAGCACCCTAGTTAAGGGGCTAGATCAGAATATTGGCAAGGATTGGGGGGGGGGTCTTATGCTGTTTGAGAAGATGTATTTAATGAACCTGTTGTTTTCCTTATATCGCAACTTCTCTGCAAGCCATGGAAAGGAAAGCTCAACAACATCTGTTTGGTGGTGGTTGGGTGAGAGACGGGTGGGGAGACAGGCTTGGAGGAGCTAAGGGCGGCAGAACGCTAAGCAGCATGGTAGTAGAGGCTCTTCGTGGCAGGGGACACTTTGGAGGAATGGAAGCAAGGTCAAAATATGATGTCGTTTTTACGTGAACGCACCAGCCTAGGGATTCTTTGGAAGAAGCCTTCAAAACTCTTAGCTAAGATTTAAAACAAAAAAACCAAAAAACAAAACAAAAAAACCACCTTCTAATTGAATGTTTTCCATAGGGGATTTTCAAATAGTGGAAGCCCGCCTCAGTAAGAACTGAGATCTTAAAAACATACATATTTTTTGATGGAATCTTTCCAAAATGTATTTTACAAATCCCCGCCTTCTTAAACAGATGATACTGAGCATATTTTGCCCTTCTCTGAATGACCGGAGCTATTATAAACATCACTTATTATCCAGGGGAGGCGACGGTCTGGGGGTGGGGGGAGGCACGACAGTCCCTGCACCTGGGTGATAAATGGCTCAGACTTTTTGGGTTTTATTATTTTTCCTGATTTCTTTTTTGGCTCTTGCGTTTCTCCCAGCCATCAGCTGGCTTTCTTTGCTGGTGTATGGTCTGGCTGGAGCAAACCTCTTCTCCTGTTTAGTTAGCTGTTTTTCTTCTGTCAGGAATTGGGAAACTGGATACATAGCCTTATTAGAAATTGTGTGTAAATTTGCAGGTAGGGAAAAGGCCTTTACAGGAGAGTCGGTTCATTTTCAAGGCCAGAATTTTTAACTGTGATATAGTCTTGTTCCGAAGCTTTTAAAAATTTTCTGGGTTCTGAGAAGTTGAGGTTGCTTTAGGCCTGATAGTTGAAAAAGCGGGTAGTATCATTACTGTGATGGTCAGATTCATGGCCTATGTCATTCATTGGGACTCTTGACTCCAACAGTAAATGAAGCTTTGGAGTTTTAGTAGCCTGAGTGGTGTTAATAAAATGTCTATCTCATTCTTTATCACAGTGGAAGGACCCAACGGCAGCTTTTGGAATATGGAAAGAAAGGGAGGTTGAGGAGCTTGCCATTTGAGAGGTACATGGTTCTCTCTCTCATGTTGATTTTAAGCTGAATGTGGAGATTTCTATGTATTCTGTATGTGCCTGCAGACCATTTCAATTCCTTCTCTGTTTGCGGATTGCAGGAAACATTACCCATCTCAGTACCACGAGCGACAATGTAGGTCCTCACCGGACCTCCTCTCTGATGTGTCAAAACAAGTAAGGTTTCTGAAAATCCCTTCTTTAGATAAATGTACTGCATCTACATGTCAAATGCTTTTAAGAATTGATTCTGCCAGAATGTCCCGGTGTGTAAAAAGGCGACTCTGTTTGAGTTAGGCTAGCCTCCTCAGGAGGTCTGTCAGCTCAGTCTTTCCAGCCAATAGAAGACCATTTAATAAATCACCACTGGTGTGTACCTTATGGACTGAAAGGATCTGGCACATCTCTAAATTGCAACTTGTATTGCTAACATTGTGCAAAATGCAGATCCAAATGAATTTCTAAAACTAAAAAGCTCTTTTTTTTTTTTTTAACCTAATGAAAAATTTTAAGGCTTAGAGGAAGCTCTAAGGTCTTGGGTTAACGTTTTAAAGTACTCTTGCTGTGTAATTTTTTCACTTAATTCAAGAACAAAGTGCTATTCTCCTGGAATCGTGAGATGATGGCTTCATTTGAGTTTTATAAGCATTAACCATGGTAATTATTTTGCTTTTGCTCTCCCTAAAAAAAAAAAAATAATTATAGGTCTCACAAACTCTCATGTCTTCATTCAAGTCATAGGCAGTTTTTATTTCAAAGGCATCACAGAGGTACAATGCTGGAAGGCCATCTAACATGTGACCCTCTCGTGCATAGCCCTCCTTCCCACCATTTTTCAGAGAATAGGGAGGAGGCTGGAGCAGGGAGGTTAGGAGACCCACCTAAGGTCACACGGCAGAGCCAGAACCAGAAGGCAGAACCCCTGGCTCATTTATAAATGAGCTACTAAACCATACTGCCTGAAGTCCCACGCCGGCTGAAGAACATGGAGAACTCAGAGGCAGGGAGTGGGATGCAGTGAGAAAGGAGACTGTCATGTGTATTTTTTAACACATGGATTGGGATATGGTACAAGGTATTTCCCATTCTGTATCCATTCATCAGCCTTGGAAGAGAATATGGATCGAAATGACCTTGCGAAAAATACCTTTGTGAAATTCAAGGCATTTAGATCCCTGCCCCCACCCCAAACAAATGGCTTTTCTCTTCTTTCACCAACATGTCCTCTCTTGCAAGGTGGAAGATTTGAGACTAGCGTACGGCAGTGGGTATTACCGAAATGTGAATGGAGTGCACGCATCGGAGCCAGTGCTAGACCGTAGGAGGAGAAACTCAGCAGTGGAGGTGATGTTTGCTGCCGAGCTAGAGCGTTCCAAACCAGAGGCGGATCCCACACTGTTACATCAGTCCCAAAGCAGTTCCTCTTTCCCTTTTATTTATACAGACCCTGTCTTTAGCACTGACCCAGATCCCAGAGACTACTTTGAGGAAAGGAGTCTTCTGAGCTCCTTCCAACCAAGCTGTAAGTTTGCTGACAATCACATGAGCGCATCTTCTGGCCTTGCAAGCAAAGTGAGTCCAGCAAGGCAGCTAACTTACACAGATGTGCCCTATATTCCTTGTACGGGTCAGCAGGTCGATATTATGCCTCCCCAAGTCTTTTTTTATGTGGACAGACCACCCCAGGTGCCCAAACGGTCCCCAGTCATGGCAGAGCAAAGGGAAAGGCCAGACAGCTGTCTAGAGCCCGCTGCAATGAAGCCAGCCAAAAGAAGCCCAAGGAATGTCACAATGAAGAGCTTTCAGCAAGACTTTCAAGAACTCCAAGAACCTACGGCCAGGACTAGTGGTAGGAGCAACATCAACGTATATCTGGAAGCGGAAGACCCAAATTTAGAAGATGCATTTGCATATAGCATTCAAGAGCAAACCCCAAAACGATCCCAGAGCCAATCAGACATGAAAACGATCCGTTTTCCTTTTGGGTCCGAATTTAGACCTTTAGGGCCTTGTCCTACTCTGAGTCGTAAAGCTGACCTTTTTACATACATGTTTGCAGAGCAGGAGTTTCCAACAGTTTTAATGGATCAGGGAGCAGCAGAAAGGTACGTAACTAGTGAATCCAGTGATTCGGAATCAGAAATTCTTAAACCAGACTACTACTCTTTGTATGGCAAAGGAACAAGGTTACCCATGGCCAGAATCCGCTTATCTTCTGGTAGTCTACAGCTTGACGAAGAGGATGAAGGTGTTTCTTTCAATACACCAAGTGCTGAAGACAGGACTTTGCTAAAACCATGTAATTACTTTTTAGCTTAAAAGTGTGCAATCAGTGAACATTTCTGGGCCAGTTCCATGTTGCCAACTTAGGTAAAATATAAGGAACGTTCTGCACAAATCATTTTCTTAGTTATCATTCACTGGTATTAAGGGGATCTCCTACTTTGGGGCACCTAGCTTATTAAAGATCCAGCTGCTGCCTCGTTCCTCAAGCTCCCCTCCTCAGTTTCCTCTGAAGGGACTCTGGAACATATGCATTCCTCACCAGCACCGTGGTCGGGCAAGGTGGCTACTTGTCACCTCCGTTATACGTTTCCCCATAGAGACATTATCGATGAAGTTCAGGTTCTTCAACACTGAATAATGGTGACAGTATGGGTTGGCATAGCATTGGCCTCTGATGTCCTTTAGTGAATGAGTAGATTGTGACTGTGTTGTTCATTTTGTTCTTAAGCCATACTGTGACTAAAGGTTCCAGTAAAAATGGTCCTGTTGTGTGTTAAAGACTGCAATTTTTATAACATTTATTAGGGGGAGCGTGGCCCTCCTATACCTCAGGAACAAGCTCGTGGCATAGATCCTCTCATCAGAATACAAGTTTTTAATGCATCTAGGACTTGGAAGAATTCTAAACCCTGGAAATTCATGAATTAATCAATTTCTAAAGCCAGATATATGCCCGATGAAGATATGATGATGTTTGACTTACTACTTCTGTACTCTTAACTATCTATTATATGTAGTGACAGATAAAAGTTAACATGTTGGTTTATCTACTTTCTCCTGCAAGACTTTATTTTTTTGCCATCTCTTGTTGCATGTATGTAGGCAAGGAAATGAGATGAATGGTATTTTAATAAAGAGTGATGGAAATCCATTTATTTAAAAAAATAAGTTGCAAGTATGATCTTCATTTTGTTTTAGTCAACTTCAGAAATGATTGGTTCTGGTCTATTACCAAGGGAAGGGACAGTTAGAGAATAAGAAAAAGGAAGGAGGCAGGGGAAAATGTAGAGTCAGGGAGGGAGAAGTGGTAAATTGGGGTAGCTGATGAGAAGGATAGTGTTAAAACCAGACTGAGTTCATGAACCAAGAGTCTATTCTTGAGAGAACGAGAGAGCAGAAGCAGAGGGGGAGGGGCAGAGGGAGAGGGAGAAGAAGACTCCCCATTGAGCAGGGAGCCCAACGATGTGGGGCTTGATCCTAGGACTCTGGGATCATGACTTGAGCCGAAGGCAGACACTTAACTGACTGAGCCACTCAGGTGCCCCATAAATGTATGTGTATACACACACACACACACACGTATATATATAGCTTGCATCATGTTCTTACTTTCTTAGTCCTTATATCAGAAAAATTCCTTTTAATATACCTTTCTCGAGCCTTTCCCACATTCTAGCACTTTCTTCCCTGCTCCTACCCAGTAACATTAATGTAAAAAAGCGATTTAATAATAATAATATATTGAAGCCCAGTCACCTATATGTTAATCCTATAGATCCTCAGAGCTATACTAAGTTCATCCTTGACCTTTTCTCTAGGACAAACTCAAATTCCTTTAGGCTTACATGCTCTTTCTCATCTCAATTTCTGGAAGTCTTTGTGAAATTTGTTCTCCCCAGAGAACTACAGGGTTCAAATCTGTATTTGATTTTCTAATAAAACCATAGTTAGGGTGACCACACAACGTATTGTCCAACCTAGGGCACTTCTGAGTGAAAGAGGACTCTACCAATACTTCTGTCAGGACAGGGGGACAGATATGCATGGTAGCTATAATCGATGCTTAAATCTGAAGAACACCTTCTAGTTTCCAATGGAGACGGTGGTGTTAAAGTTCCAATAACAAATTAAAGAGCAGAGGAGACAAAATGTGAAACAATTAAAATTCCACCCCATACCCCCACCTCGAGAAAACAAACACTGAGGACCATGAAATTTAAATATTTATTTTTCAATCCCCCCACAACACTGGAGTATGCTTCGCCTAGAAACAGTTTACAGGACTAATAACTCTAATGAATAAGCAATATAATTCCTATCCATGACGCAGCTGTGTTTTAAAGTTTCAAATAATCCATTTATAAATTCATTGCTTTTGCTTTTACAAAAATATTCATTCAACCCATGATACGAGTTGCAAAATTATTTCTAGACCTCTACAAATTATAAACTGTAATTGCATTTCAGTCACATAGCAGGTGAAAATTTCAACTGAACCATTACTTCAAAATACAAGAACTTTCTTGGCATATGACATGACCACGACTTATTCAAGTGTCTGTATTACTACAGAAAGAGAAGAGGTAATGGCCACTTTGACTAAAAACTGTATTCTTTACTTGAAGAACACCTTTCTTCTAATATTTGGCAATTATTCTGATTTTTAGAAATGACTTCTGTGCAAAAACCAAACTGTGCAGATCCAAACAACAAAATGTTAACTACCAAAACTAATTAATATCAATAATTCTACAACTACTGAAATACAGCCCCAGTTTGGAACTTAGGCAGGCATAATATATATACTGGGCTTAAAAGAAAAAAGGTATTTCCCATGTAACAGTACCATAAATATAACTGAAAATAACTGTACAGTCTAACTTGACTTTTGTACGGACACAGATCATCCTGTACTCTGGTTATTTTCATATGAACTAGAAAATGCTTATTTAAATAACCTTTCAAAAATGAACAAATGATGCTTATGTACTGGATAATTATGGAGAACAAAAATGTATAAATAGTTTATAGGACATCTCACCACCATGACGAAAATATGCTGGTGTAAGTTATATTCATACCTGTTGATCAGGTACTTAATCACATGATTATCAGCTTTTACTTAAGCTCCCCAAATCCAAGCAATATAATATGCTATATGAGTTGAAGATTTTAAAAACGAAGACTGATAAATTCCTCCAGTATTGCCAAAGACCCATCCTTGGCTCATTAGTATTGCTTTAAATTTCCAACCATGTTAAATAAGGGTTAACTGCCTCTTCTGCAAGAGAAGGTCAATACTGCACACCAAGAGGTACCTCTGTTGCTACATGTTGCCTATAAATGCTTCAAACACAGGGCTCTCAAATGGGATTGTCATTGAGTTGCCTGGAAAATCATCCCAACTTGGTAGAGGGAGTCAATACTTTTCAGGTTTCATTTCCAAGAGCTTATTAAAAAACTTCTGTTTTAAAAAGAAATGACTTGTTTCTACCTCCCCACCAACAGTCATTTTTAGAATACGCTGTGCTTTTTTTTTTTTTTAAAGTGTTTTGAGGCTTGATGATTTACAAACATTCAATATTTAGGATGACTTTGAAAGACCTGTACGTTTCATGAGTGTACAGTTAACTAAGGATCAAAACATGAAAGGTATTCATCCCGTAATAATGTAATAATGTAATAATAAAGTAATAATGATACCTAAAAGCAAAACTGTATCTCAACATTTAGTAGAATACAGGCGAAACTATAGTATTAAAAGTTATTCCTTACAAAATAATCTCTTTAAAATATAAAATGATAAACACCATCACAAAATAGTTGAAGAGCTTCTTCCAAATCTTCAATGTTGCAAAGATCCAAAAGGCACATGGAGCTCATGAGTTAAGCATTGTTAAGCTTGAAGTAGCTTTGGTGGGTTTCTCTGGGTCCGTATGAAATAGAAGACAATAATAAAAGTTCCTTAGGGGGATTCATCTGCTGAACACCTATAAAATGAAGAAAAATTTAAACCTATATACAACTACACATGTTTATATTTCTCATCTGTATGAACTCTGCAATAAAGGTACCGATTCAGCAAACAAAATTCTTTTACTGAATCTCATCAGGTAGACATTAAAATATAAAGAAGTTCAAAAATCTCTTCTGTAGGGGTGCCTGGGTGGCTCAGTTGGTTTAAGTGTCTCTTGATCTCAGCTCAGGTCTTGATCTCAGGGTTGTGAGTTCAGGCTCCATGTGGGGCCCACTTAAAAACAAAATCCCTTCCGGGGCACCTGGGTCGCCCAGTCGTTAAGCATCTGCCTTTGGCTCAGGTCATGATCCCGGGGTCCTGGGATCGAGCCCCACATCGGGCTCCCCGCTCCCCGGGAAGCCTGCTTCTCCCTCTCCCACTCCCCCTGCTTGTGTTCCCTCTCTCGCTGTGTCTCTCTCTGTCAAATAAATAAAATCTTTAAAACAAAACAAAACAAAACAAAAAAACCAAAATCCCTTCCATATCTGATTTGACAACCTCCAGCTGACTTGTTTGCAAATTGGAAGAGCGGAAGTTGTCCATGAAAATCTAAGGGATTTTAAAGAGGGGTTAGTTTAGTGTATGAGGACAAATAGGCTTCATGAGATAGAAGATCTATCAGAGTGTGTGATTTCATAGGCCGTATAGTTTGTTCTAACTGGATCCCAGTGGCATCACAAAGACAAACAAGTAGAAAGATGCACCAAGAAGCGATATATAACAGGATTGAGACTAGAATTAGTATTGCTTTATTCTGTTGGAGCTAAGGAGGTGTGTGTATGTTTGTGCATGCATACAAAAGTCTGGTTTAAAAAGAGAATGTAAAAATTAAATGTATGAACTTTATTGAATGGGAACAAAGTTAAAGCAACAATTTGAGACAGTGTGGAAACTGAAGTCAATCATCAGGATCTTCTGTACTCTGTATTGACTTCCTCTACCTACAATCCTTCCCTTAACTTTTCTTACGGGGGCTAAACGTAAGAACTTCAGCACTGGAAACTATGTGAATAGTAGTGTGATGAGGGCAGTGGCAAGAATGAAAGTATTCCCGGGCGCCTGGGTGGCTCAGTTGGTTGAGCGACTGCCTTCGGCTCAGGTCATGATCCTGGAGTCCCGGGATCGAGTCCCGCATCGGGCTCCCTGCTCGGCGGGGAGTCTGCTTCTCCCTCTCCCACTCCCCCTGCTTGTGTTCCCTCTCTCGCTGTGTCTTTCTCTGTCAAATAAATAAATAAAATCTTTAAAAAAAAAAAGAATGAAAGCATTCCCAAATGGTATTTACAAGGGCCCAAATAAAAATACGCTCTGTGACCTTTCGTCTATCCCCCCACTAGCAGGCGAAGGAGAAAAAGACAAAACAGGCCGTTTCTTTCAGGGGGAAAAGTACCTTGTAATGCCCGAAGATAATTCCAAAAGCTCGTGTTTAAGATGGGCGACAAATAAAACAGTTTTAAGCATACAACTATTAAGAAGTGACTTAATAATTAGGAATAGTTGAAATGACTGAATCAAGGTAATCATATCGTATCATAAACATCCCACAGAAAATGTCAAAATAATTTCTTAAATGACATTTCAAGCTTACTTTTGAAATTTT